CACAGAGAACCAAAGAGGCAAGACAGACTTGGTTGTGGTGGTTTTCCAAACTTTTATTATTATTATTTTTATTACACATTTATTGTAGAAAAATCAGAAAATACAGATAAGCAATACAAAAATATTTAATTAGCCATAATTTTGCCACTTGGAGATAAACACTACCAGATTTTTTCCACATGTATAAACTCATTTTTTGAAAGTGGGCTCATGCTGTACAAATTATTTTGTAATTTGCTTTTCCCACTCAACAATATGTTGTGAACATCTTTCCATATCAATAAATATTTATCTACATCATCGTTTTAACAGCTGCATGGTTTTCCACTATATGCGTTCATTTAACCAAACCTTATTGTTGCACAGTTATGTTCGCTCTCTCTGTTCTAAACCACACTCTGATGCACATCTGCCCCAGGCAGACACAGCTTACAGAGAGGGCCAGGCCCTCAGCCCTCCCAGCCTCTGCCCAATCCTCATCCTCCTGGCCTGGCTCAGGCCCCATTCTCTGGGGTGCCTCCTTTCTTCCTTCCCCCAACCAGAAGTCCCCCACATCCAAAGCCTCAGGCCAAACCCTAGACTGACTTCTAGACTGCACAGCCAGATGCTGCCGGCATGCAGAGAGATGCCTGGATGCCAAGCCACACCCTGCTTCAAGCCAGGGTAGGGACAAGGTGACCTCCCTATGCCCCTCCCCTGAGTCAGAATCTTCCAGGGCAAAGCCCAAATGTCTCCTGGGACAGACCAAACCCACATCTCAACCCACATCCAAGGTACGTGGTGTTTTCCAAACATTCCACCCTCTCATTCAAGCGGCCGTTTTGTCACTTAACTACCACTTGCAGCTCCGCTTGTGCCCCTGACCCTCGCCTAGTGCCTGGCACAACATGGTTGCCAGCAAGCTGGGTGGGACAAAGAGAACATAGTCTCTCTGGCTGACCCCTTGAAGACCACCGAATCTATCCCTCCCGTGGCCCATCCCTGAGGAAGGGAACTGAGCCTGGTGGCCACTAGATGGCAGTGCTCAGCTGCCCAGGTCTGAGCTGCACCAGCAGTTTAAAGGCCGGGAGAGAGCCCAGTCTCATAGCTGTCGGTGAGTTTTCTAAAACCCAAATTAGTATCACCCAGAGGGATCACCCCCTTTATTCTCTAACTTGCCTCTGGCTGCTATGCCCTCTAGGACAGAGAGAAAAGCCTTGGCTATTCACTAGCCGTGAAGTCAGCCTTCTCTGAGTCTCCATTTTCACAATACCTACTTCCAAGGCAGTAGCGAAGATGAAATTAGTGAAAGCTGGACACAGCAGG